GAATTCAGATATGGAGCTTTAATAAGTTGTACATACGCACAATCTACTTGTAATCTTAAGTTTTAAGTAATAGAAATTTTCTCAATGAATCCAAAATAGCCATATTTTGGGAAAGGCTAGAAGAATGGGACCCATTATGGGACAGACAATGCATTAGATAATCGAAAACAGAGAATCTTGAATACTATTAGAAATTCAGAAGAATTGCGCGAGGGGGCCATCGAACAACTGGAAAAAGCCCGGGCTCGCTTACDGAAAGTAGAAATAGAAGCAGATCAGTTTCGCGTGAATGGATACTCTGAGATAGAGCGAGAAAAATTATAAAAAGTAGTTTTTAAGAATTTTTGTCAAATGCTTTTTAATATAGTATAGATTTTTTTTTTATAATTTAATCTAAGTTTAATAATGAAATAATTTATTTTTGTTTTAATAATATAACATTTTATAAAGAGAATAATTAAGTATTCTGTTAGAATTCAATGATGATCCTAATTATATTTTAAATTTTTTATATTTAAAATGAGATGTTTATCCTGTATTTGATTGTGTTTATCTGCAGTTAGTTACACGAATTCGGATATGAGATGAAATCAGATAGGGATGAAATCGTTTAGGTATGAACGGGTTTAAGAGTTTTTAAGAATTTTAAGAGTTTTAGCCAAATGTTTTATAAGATAGTATAGATTATACAAATTCAAATATATTATGTTAACATAGTATATCAATTGAGATATTTATGGAAATGATGAGAGTTCATTTATTATAATTTGAATAGAGTTTATTAATTATGATTAATACTTTATATTAGGAAACAATCAAAACTTTTATTAAATCACATATTCATCAAATTAAATGAACAGTTGAGATTAAGTTATATTGGTTGTACAAATGTAAAGGGTTGTATAATAACTCACCTATGTATGTATAATATATATATATATATATATATATATATAATAAATAGATTAATATTATTTGTTAATATAAAAATAGAAAAGAAGGTAAAAATGACCTATCTACCCCTGAGTTAACGAATGAATATTAGTATCAGGGACCTAGTTTGTAACAAAATGTAAACTACATAGATGCCATGTGTACTTATTTTAAAACAAAGATCGTATCCAGATTCTAAGAAACAAGAGGAAGCATCGGCGTAATTTACTCTATCTTTTTGTTTCCTACTTACCTCCAAAACCGATGATGTGATGGTTCACGCTGATGTAAGTGACTTGAAAAGTTGTATGGTTATTCGACCATTGACCTAAAAACTATTATTCTAATTTCTCAATTAAGACATTATGTCGTCATTTGTTTAATATAACTGTTCTTTCTATATACAATTTGTTAACGTCTCCTTCACTTTTGACTACATATCGGGCATCGGGCCGTCCAATTGCTTTTGTGACTCAAATACTCTTGGAATTTTCAAAAATCTTACCTACTCGTTAATTAAATACAGTTTTATCGTTTCGTTCCTTGTTTATTTTAACTTTAGATGTTAACTCTATATTTGAAAAATATTTTGGAAACTTCCAAACTCTTGTCATAATTATTTCAAACATACAAATTCAAATATATTATGTTATGTTATCATCTCTTTGTTGTTTTCTTCAACGGTTGCATGATGTCATATAAAATATAATCAAATCAAGTTGGTCGGCCTGGATTTAGATCAAATGCAAAGAACATGAGTGCGTGACTTGGATTGACGTGATAAATGGATTTATAGCTAAGCAAACACGCTAATATGTCATTAATGATGCTTGACGCATCTGATTTTTGAAGACTTTACGATCATGAGGTTGCAATTTGCATGACATGGAAATCTAATGACATTGTGTATGTTTATCTACGTTGAAGCACATAGCGTCATATTTTAGCTTTTGCATTGGATTTGTTTTTGTTCACCGTAATCATCAAAGCCGATGGGTAGATACGATTGTTATCTATACTATATTATAAAACATTTATTAAAAATTCTTAAAAAAACATTTTTTATGCATGAAGTATTGTTTATTGATACACATTACTTAAAATTCAAGATTACAAGCAAATATGCGTAAATATAATTTATTAAAGTTTCATGTTTAAATTCGTGTAACTAACTGCAGATAAACTTAATCAAATAGATGATAAACATCTCATTTTAAATATAAAAGATCTAAAATATAATTAGAATAATTATTGAATTCTAACAAAATACTTAATTATTATCTTTATAAAAATTTATATTATTAAACTAAAAATAAAAAATGAATTAAGGAAATACAAAAAAAAATTAATAGTTAGTTTGGTATCAATATCAATATTTTTTTTCAATTTTTATGATATCTCTTTATATTTATATTTTATCCAAAAATAAAAATATTATCGTTTTTCATAACCACATAAAACGTATTATAATATTGGTTGAGACAAAAAAAAAAAAAAAATATTAAAATCAAGATGTATCTCGCTACATTATGCAAATACCATTATAGTAAACTCATAAAGCAAGCATCTCTGATTATTTCAAACTTTTTCATTCCTACTCGTAATGTAGGAGAGCTCATCTTTTGGGTGCTTGGGACTATATATAAAACTAATTTGTTTCAAATAAAAGTGTAATTTTTTCATTCTCTTGTACAACATCGTAAAAGATTTAGGTAAAACCGAAAAAGATTTATATATTAAATATTTATTACGTATTGATTAGTAATGTATAATCTCATATATTTCAAGTTTACAAACAACTATTGCTTACTTATAATTTTTAAAGCTATTTGGATTATATTGAAATTAATTAATAACTGATAGACATGCTCAAATACATGGTAATCGTTTAATTTCATTAATATGACAGATACAGACATCATTATATATCTTATCTACACAAAATCTCATCATTAAAACTTATATAAATTTCATCTATATTTTTAAATATAATATATTTAATAACATTTTGAATTAAGCAAATCATAATAAAAAAGAATTTCATTATATTAATTTGACAATTATATTTGGGTTTTTTAGGTTTTTTTACCCTAGTTCAAATTTAAACAATATAAGTTCACCGCTACTTGTGATTTGACTTTATTCGAATCTTTTTTATGGAAAATTACATTAATTTTTTATTTTTTATTTACAATAAATTTTTGCATCTAATTGAATGCACAAATAAATTAATAGTTAGTTTCAGACATTATAACAAAATTGGGTTTATAGGACACCTCCAATATCTAAGCGTCTCAATAGACCGTTTTATAGAACTTAATTTATAGGACCAAAATATAAAGTTTCATATCTAAAGGTGTTGTAATAATTTTATATGACGTTTTTGGACACCTTAACAAGTTTTTTAGAACATTTTTAATACAAAGTATCGCATTAGCAACTTTATAGGACACTTTTGAGAAAGTGTCATATAAACTCAATTTTTATAGGACAGTTTTTCAAATAGTATCATATAAAATTGCTAATAGAACGCTTTATATTAAAAGTGTCCTAAAAAACTTACGACATACATTGAGTCTTCAACACAATCAACCTAACTTGTGTTTGTCTCAGGTCTTCTTTTAGTAAAATTTTAATACAAAGTTGTTACTTCGTCCGTTCCAAAATAATGGTCCACCTTTTTATTTTTGTTTGTTTAAAAAATAAGTGTCGATTTTTAAAGAAAAATGTCTACTTCTCATTCTATTCTTAATTATGAGGACGAGAAAAAAAATTATATTATTAAAAGTAAAACTGTCATTTAATTAATTAAAAAATAAATATTTTTAAAATCATGTTTTTTTTCGTTTCAACATCTCTCAGAGGAAGCATTTGTTTAGTCAATAGTTACATTTTTAGAATCGGAGCGAGTAATAAGTTTTAGGATAGATTTTAGTCTATTAAAACGACCTCGTATGTAACAATTTATCCAGTAAACGTTTACCATGGTAAGAGTTGTCGTTCTCACTTACTGAGTAAGACTCTCGGTCCTTGTCTCCCTCTTACTGAGTAAGGTTCTTGGTCCTTACCATATTCATCCGGTAAGGTAATGTGAGTTGGTAAGTCTTACCCGGGAGAATGTTTGGTAAACGGCCCTTACACCTCTGAATAGGGTGGTTATTTTGAAAAGCCTTACACTTTATAAGGTACTTTATGCACTTTCCGTAAGATTTGGGTCAAAATTGAAATATGATAAAAAGTGTGCGTGGAATAGCCATAGGCCATGATACTTTGCTGGATCTTCGCCATCGGTAAATGATGAAACGGAAATTCGGCGGTAAGCAGCCGACGGGTACTCCGTCAATGGCATGGTCGACGGTGGTCGTCGTTGTTTCACTGCTCACTGGTGCATCCATCGTGCATAACATCTTCAAGCCTGATTTGGTTTGTGTTCTTCTCTCGTTGTCGCTATATATACACACAAAATATCTCGTTGTGTTCCTCTTATTTGTTTGTGTGAGATAGAGATTCCTATTAGTCCATATATGATATCATTGAGTAATTCTTGAAGACCTAAAACTGAATTTTGTGAACTAAATTTTCTGCGTTGGTGATAGTATATTCCCTCTCATCGACTATGCATATTAACTGTTCGATGAAATGTCGCAACGAGTGAACCCAATGTAACTGTGAGCTATCGGATTTCTTGTTCAAAATCTTATTACTCCAACTATTTCTTAGTTTTTGACTTCAGTTCTTAATTAGGTTCTAGTTTCCAGCTTCACAATTGATATGGAATTTAACTTGTTTGATTGGAAAATGGAACACCACATTTCAATAGAATAATGTTGGTAACTTGAAGGTATTGAGTTTGAAAAGCACCCGGTTTCTAGAAGAAGGGGGTAGTTTATGGCACTAACCGAGAATCTTAACGTTAAGAACGATGCAAGGGCCGAGATTCTTACACGTTAAGTGAGGGTGACGACTCTTACCCAGTTATCATTTACCGGATAAATTGTTGCGTACGATTTCGTTTTAATGCTATGACCGTTGGCTTATATGTCGACCCTAAGTGGTACGGCCAGTCCCAATCTGCGTCCCATTAGAATCTTACCCAGTAAGGTAAGTGAGAGCGATTGACTTTTATCATAAGCGCTTACCTCGTAAGAGTTTGGGTTAATGGCCCCTTAGTCAACCAATGGTTATTGCTTCTTTATGACATAGTGTTCTAACAATAGTGCATGGGGATCCAATTTGCAACAAAGATCTTTTGGCATTCGTTTTGTGACCGAGATAATTCATGAATTTGTTTTTCTCTTCTTGCTAATACGTTATTTTTTTCATTGTCCGTGTATTCTTTATTCACAGCAGTAATCCTGAAACACTACAAAAATGGGTCTACAGAACCAAGATCGAATGATTTATATACTGTTTAAGCTGTACTAATGCATGAATTCTTATTGTATAAATGGTACCACTCTTCCTAACATTCGTATTTGTTTGGTCTGCAGACGCTACCTCCAATTGAAAGTATTAACGCGGATAAAGTGCAACAGCCTGGCAAAGAATGAACATTTTCTTAAACATTTGTGGTTTCGGTAAGTAGGTGTCTTTAAGATTTTGTATTCCAAATGAATCAATATGTTTTCTGTTGTTCTTCATATGATGTAGGTGACCAAATGCATTGTGTTTGAATCTAGAATCAGAATTTCAAAATAAAGGTTTCTTCCCCCTAGGTTCAAATGAGATTTGTGGATTGTGATTTCTGTGGAATTTTGAGTTTTGTCCCAAGTTTGACAAAATTGGATGGGTCGGTTTAGGCTCGATAAATGATGGGGCCCATGTAACTATATGCCGCTTGTAATATATCAACACGTTCTGGGAGCTAGATGTTTTGATCTGTATAGAGAAACTGAACTCAAAGTATGGTGGTGATTTTAGTGAATCATTGGGTTCTTCTATGTAATTGAACTCATAGGAGAATGAAAGAGTTGTTAGTTAAGCCAAAGTACGAGTCAGGATGTGCAGAGTGCAATCTTGTATACGCTAGGATCGCGGATGTCGCCATATGGCAGAGGCCAAGGGAATTGCACCCCTTTGTAGGTTTCTAGGGGCAGAGTCCCTGGATTTGAGTGGTTATCCATCGGTGTTTCAGTGATATTGATGAATGTCCTATCAGTGGCGCTGGTGAGGGTCAGCATGTGCCGTTAGTGATACAGGTTTGTGGATGTACTGACTGATACCAATCAGTGTTTATCCGCCAACCGTGATGAGGGTAACACTCTGCTGATCTGTGCTTATCAGCCAACACTGATAAGGGTGGGGCTGTTTCTTTAACTCTGAATGATTCTATTCATAGCAATCATCTGAATCAGGCAGATCTGATGACTGTTTGGTGAAAAGTTAACGTACTCTGCATGAATCTGAATCATTCGTCCTCTATCTCATAATTTCTATTCCAAAAGCCATGACAAAAAATGTCACGTTTTCCATCAAAAAGTGATGCATTTCCATAAGAAACTCGATGATTTCGCATGTTTCATAAGTACCACAATCAACATCCAAAATGCACAAGGCTCGTTCTATCTCCATTTTTGTTTGTTTGGAATTATCTTTCAAGAAAATGACAAAACTACCCCATAAAATTGACTATTGACAACAAGCATAATATCATCATTTTCAACCTCCAATTTATTAGGATTTGTCTTAGGGTGTTCATTGGTTGAAATCCAATGAATTTAGGTAGATCCGATCCAATTCAATCATCCATTGGATGTTGGATTTTGTTATCCGATCCGATTAGCATTTGGACAATCGATCCGATCCAAACCCAATGGATGATTGGATCATATCGGTTCCATCCACTGGATGTTACTCTTGGTTATCCATTGGATCGGATTGGATTCGTCCAATCTTTTGATCCAATACTCAACCAATTAATCCATCGTTTCAACCAATTATTCGTATATTTTCTTAAATTATTAAAAAACAATGTATATAAATAACAACTCAAAAACAATATCGTAAAATGTTAATAATTATATATAATTATTAACTGGATTTAGGATGATAATTGGATGATCATTCGATCGAGAATTGGATGGTCATCTGAGTGGATCGGAAGTTATTAGAATATTGTATATACGGAGTTAACATCTCCACATTTATAAGAGTAGATTTATGCTATACATTATATCTATTTATCGTCTTTCATCTATTGAGAATGACATCAATTATTCTCATTGGAACAGACTTGGGGGTCGTTTACCAAATGTTTACCGGGTAAACTTTACCTGGTGTTTATTTACCTTATCAGGTGAACATGACAATGATCAATAATCTTACCTGAAAAGTGACGGACAAGACTTTTACCCGGTAAGCGATTAATGGGTAAACGATGCTTACTAACAATCCATTTTGATGGCTGAGAATGTTATCCGATAAAAAAAAAGGGTTGTGCCTATTTTCATCAAATACTTACCCGATAAACATTTAAATGACACCTTAAAAGTTTAATAACAAAAAGAATATTTTAAAATAAAACAAAACGCTTCTATTATCATTTTGGTTCAACAATTAGCTCATGCCAAAGCTACCAAAAAGAATTCATGGGCCAATCAAGAAAAAATTAAAGTTCATGGACAAAATTGACAAAAGCTAAAAGTACATGGGCCTATTTTAAGTTACAAAGACGGTACCATAACTGCTCAAATGTTTTTGTTCAACCAACAGCTGCTCTGCTCATCTACTCCAACCAGACGCCATTGAAATCCATTGCATTATACCTTAAAACTTAGCTCACAATATAGCTTCACCCTCTTTATTTTACCCAAAAATATACCCAAATTTTCTATTAATCCATTTCTCTACAATTGGAACCACCATTGTTTTCTCCGTTTTCCTCACTTGCCTCTCGCCCAAAAACCTTTTTACTTTCGAATTGATCTCCGGGAACAATGAAGGTGACGGTTACTACCCGGAGCGGTAGAGAATTAATCGACGGTGGCCTTGTTTTTGACCGCGATGTGAGTTCAATTTTTCTTCATTTTTAAGGTCGATGAGTTTTTGGGTTTTGAGTTTGTGACTGTTTTCTTGTGTTGTTGCAGGCTACTGTGGCTGTTTTGCAGGATGCAATTCATCAGAGAAGTAAGTTCCTATTGTTTAAATCTTCATTTAGTACGTAAATAATTAGGTATTTTAAACATTCTGCTTTTCGAGTTTTCAAACGTTTACTCCGCAACAATTTCCGATTAAAATCATCTATTCAGCCGTTGTATCATTATTATAGCGTTTTAACGATAATGGATGAGATCTTTTTCTTTTGTCAATGGAAATTTAAGATATCTGATCAATAATCCTGGTGAAACCCTGGAGCAGAAATCGCAAGCTTTGCTTGAAATTTTGGTAATTGCTAAGGTAGTTATTGAATTTATCACAAAATATGTTGGTTGAAAAGCCCGTTGTTGGCTAATAAGCTAGCTCATAAACTAGTCTTTTTGGTAAAAACTAGTTGAGAAGTAAAATTACCCAGACGTAGAATATAATGGCTAATTGGAAAAAAGTGAAAAAACCCTAATAAGCTATTTGAAATAGTTTTTCTAAATCTAGCTTGTCTAACCATACAAGACTTTTTCAATAAGCTTATAAAACACAAGGTAGCTTATCGTTATCAAACATGGCCCAAATAATCGTTCTTATCAAGAAGGTAGAATGGAGAAGAACCATTATGAACAAATGAAACCTAAGTAAGGCAAGAAAACACCAAACATGTTTATGCAAGTGGCCAACACATGATATGCTCTATCAAGAAGGCGCACTTTTTTACAGGTGTGTGAGTTAAGTGTTTTCTTGGATCAAAATGCTTGTTTTTCACTCTTTGTTCCATCTGTTTCCTCACAGAGTGGAAGAAAGAAGGGAAGTCTTCTTTCGGCATCACAAATTGGTACTAATTTATCCCCAAGAAGTTCAATGTTTGGTACTTGTTAGCCTTCATCTTTTTCCAAAATTTCTTAGAATCCTCAAGTAGCTTTGGATGCATGATCTGTAAAGCCTACGCTTCTTGATGCATGTTTTTCCGATGCTTACTATTGCAAAAGAAAAACAGGGGTGTGTTTGGTACGTGTTGTCCAATGTGCGACATTAAATTGGGACATGGACATGGCCTAGTGAGACAAAAATGCAGCCTTTTGTCCCACCAATATGGGTGGAACAAAAATTAGAGAGACGAGACAAGATTGTTAAAGTAGTAAACTGCTCATAAATTAAAACCCTAAAACTAAACACAATTCTTTTACACACCTACCTTCGCCCATCCAATCCAACCTACATACCAAAACTACCCAATTCTGTGGATCTTAGACATCTTTTGAGGGTGTATTTCGAATCTTCAATTGCGAAATCAAAATGCTTTTATAAATGATGATTAGTTCTACATTTGAGGAAAATAATTTGGTATGTGTTCAACAATGTGCATATATCACCCCTGATAATAGTTATGATTGTTTAACAAGTATTTTTCTGCTACATGTTTGTGCAATCTCTTGCACAAGCTGGAGTCTTCACAGAAACATCTGCTCTACTCTTTGGGGTAGAGGTCAAGTATGTGTATATCTTATCCCCCATACCCTATTTCGAGTGGGATTCACTTGGTCCATTTGGTTTGGTTTGGTTTGGTTTGGTTTTTTGTTTAGCAAGTATTTGCAGACCAACTTTTATACTATTAACATCGTGTTTTAACCTCACCTGCACCTTCTGCTAACAGTCAAGAAATACCACCCTTCAAGACAGCGCTTAACCCTGCCCATCTCACCTCACTCAAAGGAGAAGCCGATTATCCTTCAATACAAGAAATGTCTGAAAGACTACACCAATGGAAACTCTGACACCATATCCATCATATTTAAGGACTTGGGACCACAAGTATCATATCGCACGCTTTTCTTTTTCGAGTACTTGGGCCCACTGCTCCTCTACCCTCTCTTCTACTATTTCCCCGTGTATAAGTATCTTGGATACAAAACTGAGCGTGTTATTCATCCGGTTCAAACTTATGCCTTATACTACTGGTGCCTACACTACTTCAAACGGATCATGGAGACCTTCTTTGTGCATCGTTTTAGCCATGCGACCTCCCCACTTTCAAATGTGTTTCGAAACTGTGCTTATTACTGGACTTTTGGCTGTTTTATTGCTTATTACGTGAACCACCCTCTTTACACACCTGTAAGTGAGTTCCAAATGAAGATTGGATTTGGGTTTGGGTTGGTTATGCAAGTTGCAAACTTGTATTGCCATATCATATTGAGAAATCTTCGGAGTCCAAATGGGAACGAAGGATACCAAATTCCTCATGGGTTTTTGTTCAATATTGTGACTTGTGCGAATTACACGACTGAGATTTATCAGTGGGTGGGGTTCAATTTTGCAACACAGACCGTTGCAGGTTATATCTTTCTTGTAGTTGATGCTTCTATAATGACTAATTGGGCCCTTGCTAAGCATCGTCGTCTCATAAAGGTACTTTTCTTGCCCTTTTCAAGTTGCAGAAAGAACAATATGTTCATTATCGCTACTGAAACACAATCTTTGTGGTTGTTTTGGCAGGTATTTGATGGGAAAGATGGAAGAGGCAAGTATCCTAGTGGCAGATGGGTGATATTGCCTCCATTCCTCTAAGCAAACACAGGTCTAATGGTTTTGTTTTGGAAGGGATGATATGGTGAGTTGATAATGTTAAATTTATGGATCATATGGTGAATTCATCCCATCTGATGTAATAGACACATCCCACAGTGAGATGAGGTTGGATTATTTTAGTTTGACTTTCTCTTTGTCAAATCTCCAATTTGTGGAAGTGAAAAATCAACAAATGAAGCTCTGGTTGAAACCCTTTTTGGATTGAATCACATGCACTATGTTGTAGTTAACTTCCTTATTGATGTGTAATTTGGCCAAATCATGGTTTCAAGTAAAGTTGTTTACCAACAAAATGGTCCGTTAGAAAAATGGATATAGAATGAGAGTGGTGTGGGTTCGAAATAGTAGGTTAAGATTAATAGACGGATATGAGCACTGTAAAAATGATATCTGACAGTTCTTATATTAATTATATATTTGATACAGATTTTTAAATAAAATATGTTAATCGAAGATCATATTATACACTAACATTTAGGTTTTTGTAATTAAAAACTCATAGTTTTCAAGGGTGTAATGTATAAAATGTAAAGTCTAACTCTTAACTATCAACGCATTCTAAATCTTTCAAAATCTAAAATCTAAAATATTCATATTTTCTTTTTCTTTAAATGTAAAGAGCATATTTTTTTGAAAATCTTTGTTACTCTTCACAAATGTAAAGTCAATCAAGCAAATAAATAAAATAATATTTGAGAGTCCGGAAAACTTGTCTCACAATACATCTAATTGCAAAAAACAAATGTGTTATATTCCGTTAGGAGGAAAGTATTCACGGATAAACTTAATATAAAATTACTCGTCTTACAATACATCTAATTACTAAATCAAAACTCAGATCAAAACCGATTCTATATTTTACGGATAAACTTAATATAAAAGTGTGTGTTTGTATGTTTCATCACTTCAAATAGAATTGAGGATTGATGGTGGTGCAATTTGATGATAACCAAACTTAGATCCTATGATTTGATCCTAACTAAACTTCACAATTATTTCCTTTTTGATGATTTGTTTTTAAAAATAAATTATTTCCTTTTTGATGATTTGTTTTTAAAATTAAAGAAAAATAAAATGACAAGTCAGAAAATAGTTGAGTGTGCATGTGGTGGGAAGGTGGATGCATGATGAAGGAAACATGGGCAACATTCCTCTTCCTTTTTATCCTCATTATTACTCCCTCCCCTCTTCATAACATGTTCTAATTCTAATTATATATTTATTTGGATTTATGATGATTTTATGCATTTAAGACATAAATAAGTGTTTGGTTATTATTTCTAAAATTTAAAATATTTTACAGTTGTTATGAAAAACGCTCTAACCATACTCAAAATAAGTATTGAAACATGTACAAGAATGTTTTATTTATTCTAATACTATACTATAAAACATTTGACAAAAATTCTTAAAAATTATTTTTTATGCATGAAGTACTGTTTATTGATGCATATTACTTAAAATTCAAAATTACAAGTAAATTGTACGTAAGTACAACTTATTAAAGCTTCATAATTAAATAGATAATAGACATCTCATTTTAAAATATAAAAGATCTAAAATATAATTAGGATAATTATTGAATTCTAACAAAATAATTAATTATTATCCTTATAAAAAATTATATTATTAAACCAAATATAAATTACTTTGAACCTAAATTAAATTATAATAAAAAAATTTGAATTAAAATTTTTTACAAAAAATGAAGAATTTTAAATAATTAATTTGATACTAATATCGATATATTTTTCTCAAATTCTTATGATATCTTCAAATTTATATTTTATTCAAAAAAAAAAAACAGTATCGTTTTTTCAAAATCACGTAAAATCATATTATAACATCAACCGAAATAAAAAATAAAATGAAATATTAAAATTAAAATATATCTTACTATATTATATGAATATCCTTCCAATAAAAAAAGATGTGATTTTTGTAGACATAACACATGAATGGAATCTTTGATGACCATAGCAATATATATAAAGTAGCACCAATGGCCATCAAACTCATGTTAAATTTATCCAATCCCTCACCATTCCATAATATAAATATAAATACACTAAATTACAAATCTGGTCCCTATAGTTTGTCAAAAATAACATTTTTTATTTCTACAGTTTCAAAATTACAAGATAGTCATCATGGTTTGCAAAACATCTGAACTTGATCCCTTCCTCTAACCGCCGCTAAAAAGATTCCGTTAAATGTGGGCCGGTTTTATTCTTTTAATGATTTTTTTGTTTTTTAACCAATCAAAATTGATTTTATGATTTGGTTCATTTGGCTTTAATTGAGTAAATGGAAAAGAAATTGACAAAAAGACGAAAATATCTATTGTTTAACGAAAATTTTAACAGTCGTTAATAAATCCAAACGTTTTTACAAACCATGATAAACATCTTAAATTTAAAAAATGCAAAAACAAAAAATGCTATTTTTGACAAATGATAGGAACCAAATTCATGGCTTACTCGTATAAATAAAATCATTTACTTTTTATTTAAATAAAACATGATTCATCGTAAAAATACTTACAAGAATGGGTTTTCCTATAGGATGATTTACGGATAACGCTAACAAGACATACATTATAATACAAGAATTATTCGAGTAAAATCGACAAATATAATAGAGATAATAAAAGAAAATTATTAAAAATGAAAAAAAAATATATATAATATTTATGTGTTTTCAAAAAGGACTTGTATGAAAAGATGATTCACTTTTGATGCCTAACATGTATCTTTAACTTTAAAATCACGAATGTTTCTACACTTTCAGAATAGTTTTGTCACAAATAAAAATTCTACAAATCCTAATAAAATATTTTATTCTTAATAGTTTTTTATAAATTTAATGGTTTCAAAATTTAACTTGGTGTTTTTTTTATTTATATAATTATCAAGATTTTCTTTAAAATTAGAATTATATACAGTTATCACACGATCTTTTACAAAATAATTAATCTTTAAAAGACTTTTTGAATGGAATAAAAAAAGTTGGGGTATATACAGAAAGATAATAAAAAGAAATTGTTTTATAGGTTTTTTTTAAAGTTTTTGATGATTTTAATTGGAGATTAAAAAATAAAAATAAAGAGAAATGAGTGTGTTGAAGATCCAACGATCCACATTCAATCCATGATTTCCTTATAATCTCACCACCATTCAACGTTTCATTCCGGGATTGCATCGCTCTCTCTCGTCTCACCCCCTCCTCATACAAAGCCATTTTTTGTGCTTTTCCTCACCTTTAATTCTTTCCATTTCTTCATTTACCCATTTGTGTTTCCCACCTTCATCTTCCCCATTTACTGATCCTTCAATCCGTGTTCTCTTGGTACGTTTCTTTTATGATTTGCAATTCCAAATTCATGTTACATTGTACATGCATTTTCTCCATTTTCTGTTCGTTACTGCCAAGGCCTAAGGCTTTTGATTTTGCTTCCTTCATGTTTGTACAAATGATTAGACACATGACTTCTATTGTTGATCATCTGAATCCACTTAAACATAAAAGGATTTGATGATGAAACAGTAGAGACGGAATTTGGCATATTAAGTTAGGGTTTGCAGGAGATCCTATAGCGATGGCACATATGTACTTAATTTAACGCCAGTTTTGCTAATTGGAGAAATGATTGTGATATGATCTAAAAAGTTGATGTAAATGTGAGAAAATCTTGACATGCTCACTAATTGCCATTGCATCTGATGTTTATTGAAAATCTGTTAAAGCTGTTAAGTCGTTACATTCTTCTCATCTTAACAACGGTCATAACCTATAGTTTCCTTCTGCTTAGGTGAATGCCCTATTTCTTTCATGTAAACCGTAGAAGAAGCTTTTATTTAACGATTTGGTTATGGAGATTAATGAATTTGTGTTTTTTATAAATTACAGCATGGTATAAATATTCATGTACAGAAAAGCATGGTTTTCTTTATATAGGCATACACACACATCCATATGTATGCACATATATATATATATATATGTATGTATGTATGTATGTATGTATGTGTGTGTGTGTGTATGTATGCAATCCTTTTGGAGGCTAAGATTGGACAAAAGTTCAAGATCTTTTTTATATCAAGCTGGAGCAATTTTTATAACCTGTAATATATAGAAACTTTGTTGTTCAGTGTGGTTGCTTTATGCTTTAACAATCCAATTTATTTCAATCTTGCCATCTTGGTAAACACTTTTCTATCACTATTATTGCTTTTGTATCTTGTCCTCTGTGGTTGAAATCAGGGCATGATTTTGATATTGTGTTTAGGCTATCAATATTCAAATTCAATGTGGCTTATATTGGTGTTACGGGGTGATTCAAATTTTCTTCCTTTGTGTGCGATTGGGTTCACATATTCTTTCTTATTGTTAAAGATCCAGTATGTCATGATACCCGTGATAAGATTCAGGACTTACCCCAAACTGTATTATGTTCTTTAGGTAGCATAAGATGGCAGAAGGTGAGGATATTCAGCCACTTGTTTGTGATAATGGAACTGGAATGGTGAAGGTACTGATTGCAATTTGTTCACTTCAAATGCATTTATGCATCTGAACTTTTATCTCTCTTTCACACGCTTTTTGCTTGCTGAGGTATTCACGGAAACAACCACTCTCCTCTTTCGAGCAGAGGCCAGGTTTGCATACATCTTAACCCCCAGATCCCACCTCCTGGTGGGATATCCTGGCCTCGTTTCGTTTGGTTTGGTTTGGTTTGGTTTGGTTTGTCTAAATGAAGTGAATTTGCAGGCTGGATTTGCTGGAGATGATGCACCACGTGCTGTGTTCCCAAGTATTGTGGGTCGTCCACGTCATACTGGTGTGATGGTTGGAATGGGCCAAAAAGATGCATATGTTGGGGATGAGGCTCAATCCAAAAGAGGTATTTTGACGCTGAAATACCCAATTGAGCATGGTATTGTTAGCAATTGGGATGACATGGAGAAAATTTGGCATCACACTTTCTACAACGAGCTCCGGGTTGCTCCAGAAGAGCATCCAGTTCTCCTAACTGAAGCACCTCTGAACCCTAAAGCCAATCGTGAGAAGATGACTCAAATCATGTTTGAGACATTCAATGCCCCTGCTATGTATGTTGCCATCCAAGCCGTCCTTTCTCTGTATGCCAGTGGTCGCACAACAGGTAAGCATTTCATGCTTCTTGATTAATGCATCGCTTGTAAGCTATAATTCATATATGGAACCATCGTTTTGTGAAACTGGAACACTACACTTGGTAAGATTGAGTAGTTTAGGATGGTTGCGAGAATGTAAATGCAAAAGTAACCATCATATTTGGCACTTCTGGTCCAAAATCCCTCAATTCTTGTTAAGTGTAGGTTTTTTCAATGTAAAAATAGTAGTGTAATTTACAACAAAGTGTTAAGTAAGGGACTGTTTGCTGCTTTCTTACTGCCTCCTACTGGGTATGAGTCGCTTATCTGGTTAGAGATGCTGCTGTTTACCAAGCCCCTCTTACCGGTCCTTGATGCTCTGACCTGGTAAGCTAAGGGAGGACTCTCTCAGTGATTAGTGTGATACAGATTGCACTCTTACCTGATCAGCTATTACCCAATTTTTTGTTTCTAAACGGCCCCTAAGATAGATCAAAAAGTGTCATTTAGTGCAAAATCTTGCAATTTTAGTTGAAGCTATTTCTTGGTTTGCGACAGGTATTGTCTTGGATTCTGGGGATGGTGTGAGTCATACAGTTCCTATTTACGAAGGTTATGCTCTTCCACACGCCATCCTTCGTCTCGACTTAGCAGGACGTGACCTAACTGATGCTCTGATGAAGATCCTTACGGAACGTGGATATTCTTTCACTACATCAGCAGAGCGAGAAATCGTGAGGGACATGAAAGAGAAGCTGGCTTACATTGCCCTGGACTACGAGCAGGAGCTTGAGACTTCCAAGACTAGCTCATCCGTCGAGAAGAGTTATGAGCTGCCCGATGGCCAGGTCATCACCATTGGTGCTGAGCGATTCCGTTGCCCAGAGGTTCTGTTCCAGCCGTCAATGATCGGAATGGAAGCTGCTGGTATTCATGAGACCACATACAACTCCATCATGAAATGTGACGTGGATATTAGGAAGGATCTGTATGGAAACATTGTACTCAGTGGTGGTACAACTATGTTCCCGGGCATTGCGGATAGGATGAGCAAAGAGATTACAGCTTTGGCCCCGAGCAGCATGAAGATCAAGGTGGTCGCTCCACCTGAGAGGAAGTACAGTGTCTGGATCGGAGGGTCCATCCTTGCATCGCTCAGCACCTTCCAGCAGGTTTGTTTTTGCCATCCTTATATCCTCTTTAATCAAACCAAAGGTAGACATTGGTACCCACTACCCAGATTACCGATAGAGATGCAAAAAACGCCGAGCCTGAAGCCCGACCCAGGCCTAGTTTTCTGGAAAAGCCCAGACAAGCCTGACTTTTAAAACCTGGCAAGAAAAATCCCAACAGGGCCTATTTTCACACCCAAAGCTTGGGCCTGAAAAAGCCTGCTTAGGCCTGAAAAAGCCTGGGCTTTCTTTTGCTTACTGAAAACAGGCTTGGCAAGCCCAGGACTTGTACATCTCTAGTTATCGTTAGAGCCCAACCTCTGAGGAGGTGAATGGTCCAAACCTCACCAGATGGTAAGAAGTGTGCGAGTATTTGTTATGTAGAAATATCTTGAAACAAAATCCTTTTTAATCAAGCAAAGGTGGTAAAATGGGGTTCTTCACGAGAACCGACTCTCTACCTCTTTGGGTAGAGGAAAGGTTTGTTTACATCCTACTCTCCACGAGCTTATTTGTGTGTGTGAGATTTACTGGTTTCTGGGTAAGTTTGGTTTTAAGATGGCTTGCGAGTAGTTGTGAGCCGACTTGTACAAAAGCTTTGGTGAGCCCAAGGGCTTCTTGAATAAATTCAAGTTAGCTTGTTGACTAACAAAGCAGAAGTTGAGCCTAGTATGGCCAAGGTTGGCACGCAGCTTGCAAAAGCCTAAACGAGTTGGGCTTAAATGAACCAAGCCATTTATGCATGTATACAAGTCACAGTATAATTTATGTTCTTTTGTGGGCATGTAGCTGTAGTTTTCTAAAATTAATGTATTTATAAGCTGAGCTAGGCTTCAAGCCTTAGGAAGCTTGCATACTTTCTTGAGCTTTGGGCGAAATGAGTTTGGGATTTGCTTGGTTGGGCTCAAATGTGACCTAATCCTGAATTACAATATTTGACTTTTGACATTTGGTTTATGAAAAATGTTCTACTTATGAGGAATTTGGTGGACATAAACCGATATTGTAACTTGTTTATAATGATTAATAAATGACAAATAATAGACTTAATTAGGTGTAGGGGCCTGTAGCTAGTTTGGATAGAAATAAGGGGTAGTAGAGCATGATGAACCCCAAAACATTGTACTGGTTTCAAATCAAGTTAAGAAAGGATGGTAACTTAAAATGTAGGGATGAATATGGGTTGGGGATGGGATGTGGATTGGTTAGCGTTTTAATTTGGTGGATGATGGTTGTTGTGCAGATGTGGATAGCAAAGGCAGAGTACGATGAGTCTGGTCCATCAATCGTGCATAGAAAATGCTTCTAATGCATGCAGGCTGTTGCTGTCAAGAAATGTTGGTTGCTACAACATTTGGAGATTGGTTTCAAGTTTAACATATTTCTGAAGTTGGGTTGATGTATTCTTTTATTTTAATTTTGTTTTATTTAGAAGTTGGAGCATCATGCTTTATTTTATTTTATTATCAAAGGATATATCTTTTTATAGTAAGTCTTGTGTACTATTATATATGTTTTTAACCCCCAAATAATATTTGTGAATAAAATGCAAAACAAATACTATTTCAATTTATTTATTTTTTGGATGATTTTCTATGTGGAATTAAATGCATGAAAAGTTCAACATTATTTATGAATGCCATTTTTATTGTTAATTGTTGATCGATGCAAAAAAGAACATAAACATAGTAATCACAAGAAGAAGAAAAAAAAAGGAAAAGGCATTTTCGGTGTTGATTATTGAAAATGTTTCATCTTAATGCAAATAACAGTGTTGATTATTGAAAATGCTCTAATACTAAATTGTAAACATGAATAATTCTATCTACTTTACTCTAGGGGTGTACACAAATTGGATTTGTTGGTTGTAAGTCATTTGAACAACCAGTCTAATAACTTAGATTTAAAAAATCTCAACTTGTTTAAATCGTTTTAAGAGTATAATTCAAACCATTTGGGTCGGATTGAGTTGGTTAGATTAAAACATCTGATGTTATAAACAAAGTAAGTGAGGTCGAGGTTTTTATTAGGTACATTAGAAGAACTGGGAAGCAAAGGTACTAAACTCTTACACCATCAACCATTTTATTTCTAGCTTCAACCTCTTTATCGACGTCATTAGGAGCAACCATCTTTTTATCCTACTTGGCCAACCCCTCACCCATCCAAGGCTAGGGTTTTTTACGAGTGCAAACGTCACCAACAGGTGTCCTATGTGTCGACATGGAACAATATCCATAGAAAGGGATTGAAGATGAGTATTATTACCCAATTGATTAAGGTTGGATTGGCTGGTTTGAAGACGTTTATACAACTTAATCTAATAGTTATGAATTGATATTATTTTGTATAAATTAAATTGTGGGTAACCTCGAATTAGATTTTATGGGGTTGTGTTAGGTCGGCTTTTCAAGTTTTTGAATTGTGTTAGGGTCCTGCCTTATGACACCATTTTACCTCGATACGTGAACATCTTTTACTTAAGGATTTTATAATCAAAAACTATTTGAACATTTTGATAATTAAAATAATTTTGTATACAAATTAATACTATTTAAATAAAATAAAATATTTTTAAAAGTATTATATTTATTTTGTCCTAAGTCTAAGAAGGAATTCTATTTCTTTTTCTTTTGGAAGAATAAAATATACGTTTCGTATGTCCAATATGTGTGGTTGACTTTCAAATATGAAAGCCAACATATATAGACTAGACTAAAAATAGTTAATTACGGATATGGTCCTTGTGGTTTAGTGGTTTTACAAAAATGGTTATGAACTTTATTTATTGCATATTAGGACTCGTCGTATGTTGTTTTGTAACAAATTGGCCCCTTATTCTAACGGCTATCCATTTCATCTTTTAATCTTCAGGGCGTTTTCGCTTTTTCTTTTTTGTCTTTACTCAAGTACCAATTTCGTAAAAACCACAAGGACCAAATCTGTAATTAACTTTAAAAAATAAAAATAAAAAGTTTTATTTTTTTTTATACTTTGAGTTTACTAAATTAACTAATATCATTGGTTTATATGGTTTTTATGAAATTGGTCTCTTGAGTAAAGACAAAAAAGACAAAAATACCTTTAAAGTTAACAGTGGAATTGGACGGCCGCTAAAGCGAGAGAGCAATTGTTACAAACCAACATACTAAGATTTTTAATATGTAATAAATGAAGTTTAGGGATATTTTTAATAGAAACCACCAAATATCTCTTAAAAATATCATTTGAAATTAAAAACTAGCTCACTAAAATTATCTCATCCATAGGTCATTCACTATCCTTGCAATCAGCGAGGATCGTAACAGGATACATGGCTTTGGAATCGGAACCGATGTGATAGATACATGTTTCGGTTCTTAAAATACGGAATCGATCTAGACTTGTTTCAGTTACGTTTCTCATTTTTCTAGAATCGTTAATCGTTGGATGCCCGTTGGGACCTGATTAGCTACCCAGAACCGGAACAGATGTGTACCAGCTATTTTTTTTAATAAAAATTATTTTAAATGTTTATTATATATAAACTAAAATTGAAATTATTAATTTACCTGTGAGAAACCAATTATATTAGGGGTTGTTTGTTTAACTCTTAATAATTTCATTAAGATGCAACATCTGAATCGTTAAGAGCTGAATCTTGTTTAGCAAAAAAAAAGTCTGTTTTTTAATGATTCTAAAACCCTCTTAATGATTTTGTATCATGAATCTCCCTTAACCATTAAGAGTCCTAATTTCATTGTACACAATTACCAAACAATTATATTTTATTTTGCACTATATCATGAGAGTCTCTTAATCATTCTGACCACTTAATCATTCTGCACCAAACCATTCAACAATTGTCAAACAGCCCCTAGATTATTTATTTAATTATTAGTTTATAGTTTTTATTGGATTAATTTTCATCATGTATAATATTTATTTCTTTAAGTTAGTATTTTGTAATAGACTAATTTTTTTATAGTATTAGATGATAAAATTCAAAAAAAAAAAAAAATTAGACACCGGATATCCGATACCAGAACCTGCTCCAAGCAGTTCCAATATCGGTTCCTAAATATATAGAACCAGTGTAATCGGTTCTGGTTCCTTCATTCCAGGAACCATCAATTCCAATTCTAGGACTAGTTTCATAAATTTTGACCATGTACCCGCCTTTTCTCACCCCTACTTACAATAGTGTCCTTTAAATTATTCATGACTAAAATTGCATTAAAAATGATTTATATCTTTTAATTCAGTTTTAAATTTAACATTCATAAAAAAAAAACCTTAAAAAATTAAAATTTGATGTTTATAATTCATGTAAAAAGTAAATGAACATTTTTCCTTAAAAATTGAAATTTATTTATACTGTATTAAAAAGGACTCCTTAAATAAAAATCTTATTTATTTTTACTATATTACACCTCTCACATATTAAAAATCAAGTCATTTTTTTAATTTTTAAATTACATTTTATATCCTTATAATTAGTCATTTAATTTATTTTACATCCCTTATTTCATTTTTTATTTTAGACTCTTATCATATGAACATAAATATATAATTGTATATAAACTGAAATACATAAAAAAGATACATTTCTTCTCTTACAAATTATACCGCTATAATCGTCTCGTCAATACCTTCAAAATGAGTCCAATATCAAGTATTTTTGGATTTAATTATATTATTAAATAATATAAATATATATGATAAAAATATATACTATTTATCCATCTATATTATTTACATAAGTATGCTAAACGGTTACTTGTTGAATTTTAAGAGGTATTCATGTTTATGCATGATGTACAATTTATGAAGCTTTACAGCATCCATAAGTCTAACATCATAACTAAATAAATCTATTTTTTGTTTCTAAAATACATTTTATACCCTTATAATTAGTTATTTAATTTACTTTATATTCCTTTTTTTTTATTTTTCATTTTACATCATTCTCATATTAACATATAAAATCGTATATTAACTAAAATATAATTAAAAAAATGTTCTTCTTTCTAAATTATACCATTATAATCGTTTTTTTTATCTTCAAAACGAGCTCAATGTAAAACATTTAATTTAATAATATTATTAAATGTGATAAATACGTATTCAGTTATTTTTAGAACTTATTTTTAATATCTTAATTTTTCATTTTTGCTTTTCTATTTTTATTACTAAATTTTAAGAGTACAAAATACAAAGCAAAGTTCAAAAACCCCTCCGACTAGTTCTCCACGTTCCGAAAACTGTCCTCATTTGTTTTGCAGCTAACTTGATTTTCTCCCCACGTACCCTGAGTTATTCCCTCATCTCCTCGGTCGGTTATCCACAATATCATCATCTTCTCGTGGTGATTACGTTTTCAAAAACTCGAACATGGACATACACGGTTGTATGTTTATGTAATTGATGGCGACGACAGAGTTGAGGAAGGAATTATAGAGAGTTATGAAAGCGATTACTGAAGATTATTGTCAGAGAAAGAGCCAAATGGATTTGGATTTATTGGGAGAGCCAAGTAGACTTTGCAAGATTTGAAGGAGTTCAAAGAGGGAGGAAACAACGACCGTCGTCCATCAAGAGAATTAATAATAATAATAATAATAATAATAATAATAATAATAATAATAATAATAATAATAATAATAATAATAATAATAATAATAATAATAATAATANATAATAATAATAATAATAATAATAATAATAATAATAATAATAATAATAATAATAATAATAATAATAATAATAATAATAATAATAATAATAATAATAAAAGTTCGACGCCACTTTGGGGGATTTTGTTTCCCTCTTTCTAAAGAACTCATTAGACCCTGAAATATTGAAATGACTCGTGCAATAATCACAAATACCAATATGATGCTAGACCCTTAAAATTTGCATACAAATGATTTGTGATTCATTATAGTATATTGACTTGATATCAAATGATTGTTCAAGTTTACCACGCTAAAATGAAACACATTAAATCTGTTTTAGAAGAATCTGTTATCATGGATAACCTATTTAAGTTGTGAAGTTATCACACATTTACTTTCTTGTATGTAATCATTGACTGAATTTGAGTTGATGGGATTGTTAGATTTGGGTTTGGCAGAAGTAACATGTGTTGTATTTCTCATCACCAAGATTGCTTCTCCACCATTTCAATTTCAAATGGGAAGCTTACCCATTTAACCTAATCCAATTTTTATGATACCAATTGGCTCTTAACAAGATTCCAACATCTGCCCACTATGTTAGCTAGTGAAAATGGCAGTGTCAACTCATCAATTATCCTTTTGCCATTACCTCTATTCCTAAAAGGATGGAATAGTTAAATTACATTAAATTGATGTAGTTGTTTCTGCTGTTGTTTTAGGTGCAATCCCTGCTGATCTTGGAGGTCATCTTCCCATCCATCTAAAGGGTCATGAGTAAAAAACTTCATATCCGTCTAAACCGGCAGACCGATTGAAAATATGTGGTGAGACACAGTTTAAGAATCAATGTCCAATTGTCACAATCTCAACTGTTGTCGTTAATCCTATTTGGGAAATATTACATATATCATTTGATT